ACAACCAAACTAGCTAAAATATCGGCATGTTTTTTTAACACTGTTTTTGAACCTTTTTGCTTTCTTAAGTTGCTCATTAGTTGTTATTGTAAATATAACACCAAGTGACTATAAGTTCTACTATTTATTAAAGTCGCAAGTGCACTTAGTTAAATAGTAACGTTCCCAAAAACGAGTTTTAGTGTTTGATGTGAACTACCTTCAAATCGATTACAGATAACTAAATCATAAGACGGTTTTGTAAACGTGCTATCGTCGAGACTACAGGAACGTGAATTGCCCACTTGGAGCTCGTTTGTACCACACAAGATTATACTGGCGTCGTTATGAATAGTATAGGATAAACTTCATGATGTTTAGTTTGAAGCTGCCTACTGCTGACCCATCGTATAAGACTTTGGAATAATACCATTCAGTGATTACTTATATGAAACGTAACTTCGGTTGTTATCTGTCGTAATAGCCTAAATGTATCTACTCTTTTTTATTCTTAGAGGATTGTATCTTCGATATATTTCCATTCTTATTGTCTTTTATTTCTTCACTGCTCTTGCAAAGTGTAATGTTATGAGCAGATAGACTTTTGTCTTTCTAATTCCTAACTAATTGTGGATTTCGAAGCTTTTCGTTTCAGTACATGTGGTAATTACTTAAGTATATGTGGTTTTTCTTGTATTCATCAGTTCACTTTTGTAGTAGCTGGTCACAAAATTATCCTATCCTTTAAGTTTTCTATCAGCTTCGTGATTATTTTCGTTAACGTCATTGTTTCTGTTGTTATCGCCATCCTATTATCGGTTTCTTTCTCTTACATTGAAAGAACTAACAGAAGTGCATCCATAGATTTAACAAGTCAGGTTTTTTTCTGAACAAACTTCACTCTGAATCTGTTGTTTTCTTGTAAGTATCTTCCATAAAATTGAGATCGCTATTTGTATTTGAATAGTAGACCTTTATTCTTGTTTAGCATTTAAAAGAATGGTGACGTGGAAAAATTTCTTAGCGAAGCAGTAAGCTGCTTATTTTATTGGTAGCTTTGATTTTTTAGTTGTTTGCTCTTAAACAAAAGATATTTAAGAAGTTATTGATGCTTCTTATCCTTTCTTGGCAAAAGTAATTTGTAGAAATTCATGAAATTCGTTTCTCATGTTAAGTGAATAATTTGATTTTTATAAATTAACTGCAGATAGGACGTCGATCTCACAAAAAGATATTCAATCTGAGCTAAAGAGGTTGGCTCAAAGCTCTCGTGAAGCACTGGATGTTGGAGACAATGGTCCTGAACAGTTATTAGGTGATGTTCGACAACATAAACTGGACGAAATGAAATCAGTTGTCTCCTCATCTCCTAAACTGACTAAGACAACATCTAGCACTAACGAGCAACCAAGTCAAGTTTAGCTATGCATTGATTCTTATTATTTCCCATATTCTTGGTATACGAATTCGGTTAACAATTCAGATTATCTTCAATACAACGAACTATATGCTTTAATATAACATTTTCATTCTTCTTTTTCTTATTCTGATGTTTGGGTTTCGAGTTCCTTTTTCGTTATATTGTTTATATCAAACAAGCGCCTCCAATATGTGACTCATAACTTAGGTCCCGGTCATCATTATTCAAAAGCAGTATTCTCGGAATTGACATTTGTGCAAGTTGACCTTATAAAAGCAGTTCTGTAGAAGGAACATTTGCTTCAGCTGTGTGTCGTAAATTGACCAACCTTATCACGCCGTCTCGACAGGTAAAAAAGGTGCGACTAGTAATTAAGTGCATGTTTTATGTAAGGCCGTAACCCTAATCATTGACCTGAAACCGACTGACATGCGATAAAGTAGTCAGTCAGTGATTTGAAATTCAGTCATTCTATAACATCAAACACGAAGAAAATATCAACTGGCTTGACCTAGTGGTTGGATACTATGAGTATTGGTATGTGTGCATATCAACACTTAAGTGGTGCTTTTCGTTTATTCGACGACATGTACTAGACTGGGAATGCTATACTTACTAAACCCAACAAATTATAACAGGGATGCCAAAGCATTTATACAGTAACACGACTTCGGTGGGTGTTCATTAATAGTGTCAAGCACTGTTAGTCTAAGAAGTATAACATAGGGGTGGGTTCGAGATATCCCTGAGATTATTAGCTTCACAGCGCTGAAGGACAATCTTACACAATATTTTCCTTGACAGGACTTTTGTCCGGTGATGATGGTTTGGACTCTGACGCTGTTTATTTCAAGACAACCAGTGCTCAAGTAAGCGTTTGCGACTTCTCTTAATAATTGACGCTTCCGATGTAACCAGAGTCAGCTGCAATGTCCAGTGTTACCACAACGTAGCTATAGTAACCTAAACTCTTGGTACCAAGAAGTAGCCAGTCCTCGAGTGTTACAAAGTACGCTGTTCATCCTTTTTGAGCATGGCTATTATCATACACCGCATGGTCACTAACAGAAACGCCGAATGTTTTAATAAAACCAGAAAATGACAAACAACTCGGAGAAGCGGTACCCGTCAAGAATTAAGGCGATGCCGCAAATATAGCCTCGATAGCTTGGAGTATCTGACAATGAATGTGTCCAATCTCACCGCGTTCAAAGCATCCAGAATCACGAAGTACACATGAATTACGAGAATAAAAATTTACTAAACTTGCTCTCACCTTTGTGGTTTGCTTTGCGATCCTTCTTTGAATTCGAAATCAAGTACAAAAGTTAATTAGTTCATACAAACACTACAGTCGCAAATCCTTGAACTTTACTGAAATAATCTCTAATGCCTTGTTCACTCGATGGTGTACTTTGCTATCAGAGCCACTCAAACTCGCATTTGCTTATTAAGAGTTCCCCTATGCGTGGAAATGTGAAAAGTAGCACGACAACGATTTGCGAAGCAAAACACATAAGTAAGCACAGGTTTTACAGATGTATTTCCTGCGGTGAACCATGTGTATCTCGTAGTAATAAATGCATTAAATTTAGTAAACCCGGACATATTTAGTCAGTATGAAGACCTACTGTTCATTTCGGTGCAAATTTACTCCGTTCATTGGTGCTCGTCTAGTTCCACTTTCTGCCAATTGCACTATTTTGAAAATTCCTTCCAATTGTCGTACATATCTTAAAATAGGTTTTTCAGTCACATCAACAATTCTAGTTTGTGCATCATTTACTGACATCAAGGTTTCAGTATATGTTCACTAACGAGTTGACATAGTCGGTTAAGATTTAAGATTTATTAAACTAATCCCGGTTATGAAGCTTCTGGCTTGAAAAAAGGGTGAAATATGTTGTAGCAGCTATAAAATTTTGATCTCGCATATAAAACTGCATGCATTTTTTATTTAAGTCTTGTTTAGTGTCGATCTGTACTTCCACCTGAACTGTATAGGCAACATGCGAAATTACAATACGCGGACTTTAATGATATATACGACATAATGTCTGCATGTTTATCTGCATTGTCGAAATTATGCCGACTAATGTTTGAAAAGCAAGCGCAGGTCCGGTGAAATTTCACTGAGCCCTAGCAAAATCATCAGGCAATCGGGTCTTTGAATATCGAACAAGGTCAAGGACAATCAATACGCATCATTTGATCGGACGTCATGGACTAGCCCATGCAGCAGTGGTCTTATTTCCGCTTCTGTCTACTTTGACTTATATATTTTTGTAATAACGTCTTCTGTTTTGTACAATCTTCAAAGCATCTATGATTCCTTGATACATCAATGGGGTAGTCCACGTAAAGTGATAACCACGGGGTTTGACTTTGACGTTGCCTAGTTCGTCACACCATTCCCGTCTAACTCGAGCTGGTGGTTGACACAGGAATTGGAGAAAAATAAATCCAGTCAGTTGATGGACTTTGAAATAATACAGATAAAAAAGAGAGCCTGGGATAAATTCTGCAAATTATAATCAATAAACAGCCACATCTGGACGGCCACCTCGAATATAATGACTATCTGCTTAGAAATGGACATGAATTAAACAATAGGGTAGTGTTTTCATAGCTGAATAGTATCCTGGAAACTACTATTATCACATCATTTTAACGTTACGAATGTTTGCTCATGACATTCGGTTAAGAAATCCGTATAACAATTTACATATCCGTTGATGATATATTCAGAGTAACTAACCTAAAGATGTGTTTGAATTTTCAGTAGACCTTAACCACTAATAGCTTTTATAATCTAAACGTGCTAACCCAGTGAGATCGAAAGCCAGAAGTGAAGAGGGCCGAATATACAGTTGTTAGGATATCGATATATCGAGAAGTGATTGATCTAAGCTGGCTAGCGGCTGTAGAAGTGCCTCCATGTAGGTGAGTCTATTAAAGCTGACGTGGTCAAAAGTCGAAGCCTTACAGATCTATTGATTTCGATTATTTATTTACCGCTAAAAAAATTAACTACGATGCGTTGAAAATTAATTACTGTTTTGTAATACTTGGAATCGATAACTGTCAGGTTGAGTAAATCCAATGCACTGGTTAGTTTATATCGTAGATTAACACTCAATTACGTGTCCTTAATGAGACTCTTGTCTGACCAAATTTGTGGGAGCCCATGAACAACCAAACTGGATGAAATGGCTTAGACACCGCTTATTACAATGAAACACAATGTTACCACGTCAATTGCACTTGAACACCCAGATTACAGAGCATCGATTGTAATTGATATGGACGCACGCTTAATTGAACGACAACCTACTACTCACAAGATGACGGTTTGCTATAACAATTCAATCGACTGCTAGAAATTTTCTTTTTACCTAAAAACGTATCTCAATGGACAAAAATTTCAGATCGACAGGTATTTAGATGTGATTTGACAGGATTGTTCAGTACTTTTGTTAAGTGTTAAAAATTACGAATTGTTTGACTTCTCTGCTGAAGGACGACTTGTCTAGGTTACTAGCTGCAACCATACAAATTTATACTAATTTATCGTGTTGCCACCTGGTCGACAACACTAAATATGTGTGAAAAAGTTTCAAATAGAGAAACAGAAACGGCAAAACGTCTTTGGTCAGTTAAACGTACTCAAATAACTTTCAAACTATTGTAGGTCCAGCCTACTAGATGAAGTAACAAACAAAGCTAAAGTTGGTCTGTCGGACTCCAAAAATCTTGTCGTATTTGGTGACGATCAGTGCGGAAAATCAACTTTGATTTGTCGGCTTCAAGGCAATGAAGACAAGCGGGAAGGATTTGGTCTGGAATATGATATAATCGAGGTGAAAGATGAAGTTAAAGATGGTAGTTATTCAAATAACATAATAACATTTAACTTAGTTTCCGCAAACCTGAGCGTCTTCGTTATAGATGGAAACCCTATTCAAAGCTATCTGTTAAAATATGTGATGACTGAGGACTCGTTCAACGACCAAATGGCTATTATAGTCGTCAGCATAAATGAACCTTGGAAAATAATTGAAGCTTTGGAAAAATGGGCAGAAATACTTAATAAACACATCAGTAAACTAAAACTGTCAAAAAAAATGATAAAAGTTTGCAAATCAAGGAGTAAGTCGAACTCAATTATTTGATTGGTTTGTATGATTTCTGATTTTTTCAGATTCATATTTGTGTACTGAAGACAGATGATCTACAGCCTAAGTCAGTTCTTTAATAGCATGCTTCTGAGAGTTTCTGATCTTCTTTCGAATAAGTCAATTGAAGGGGCGGACACCACTTTTTAGGATAACGAAGTCAGAAAATTCATGACTCGTTGTGAAAACCTGTATGTCATATGTTTTTGTTCGTTCTTAACTTTTGTACTTGCCTGGTATGTCGTCAGTGTTGTCCTAATCTGGTAGGATAAAAGGAAGACGAAATATTGAATTCAAAATAATTTCGTAGCATTCCATGTATTAAAACCTGACTATGTATTAATCTGTGGTAGGACAGAGTAAAGAGGTCTAGCTTCTTAAGCCACTCTATTTCTGATAAACAACGATGTTCTGGAATCGTACGGGTAGTTACCCTCTGTATATTTTCCAGGATATCCGAGTCATCTTTCAAAAGGAGACCTGCAAACTGAATGCAGTTTTCAAGTTTATACCACACTAAGATTGTGTGTACTATTTTAGTGGCCCGTACATTGCCTGGTCCACCACACTATAATGAATATCTTGTAGTCTAACTTATTAAACATCTGTCTTGAAGACCGTAGGGTTCTAAACGCCTTTGTTTTGGCCTCTATCATTCTGGGATCCTTGTGAGACCTGACTGAGGGTACTGACTCTTTCCTTATGCTGTAACCGTTTACCGTTGTATTCCCAAAGTGCATATAAGAACACTTGGTCGCGTTGACAGACATAAGCCACTTTTGAGCGCGGCTAATCAGAACATACAAGTCTGCCCGAAGTTCACATGCATCTACGTCTCCTGTTACTTCCCACCAGATTTGCACATCATCAGTGTTTAGTAACTGAGGGGACTCAACTTTACTTGGGGGTTCATTTGGACACAGTGTAAAAAGTAAAGGATCTACGATAGAGCCTTGAGGTACACCACTAAATACTCATTTCTAGGAGCAGCACTTGGAATTCATTCTTATTTTCTGTCAGCGATCTGTCAATAAATTTTTGATACACTTTAGGAGATGTTCGGTAATTTCTAGATTTCGAGTTTCAAGACCAGTCTGTTTTTCGGCACCATATCAAATGCCTTGTTGAAGTTTTATGCAAAAGATAATCTTTTCCTGAAACTATTTTGTCCACTGTTTAACAATGTTTTGGTTACCACGAATGCTGTTGTGACCTTTTTGACTACTACTTCCAGTATAATAACCGGGACACTGGTAAGGATGACAGGTCTGTAGTTTGATAAATGTTTTTCTGGATCCGTTTTATATATCATAGACAACTGTGTTTTTCCAGTCCGTAGGTAACTCATCTTGGCTGAGTGGTGTATTGAATGTTGTGGTCCGCGGGGTACCAATATATTGTACAATTCGCCTCAATACTTTAGGATGTAGTTCATTCGACCTTGTTGATTTATTCATGTCTAAAGCACTGAGGGCCTTGACTATTTCATCTTGATTACAGTTCACAGTGAACAGCCGGTTTTGTGACTTTGTACTTTGGCCCGCTTCGTCGTTTGTTAGAGGCTCCTGAGTGAAAACTATCCCGAAATATTTTGCCATGACCACTGCATTGTCCTGGCCTTTAACTATTATTTGAAGTCTATTCCCATCAGTAATTAGGTTGGAAATCCAGTGACCGGTTCGTGTTCTGTAATTTTTGTACGAAAACAGTCTATTCAGCTGCTTGATTACAGATTGGGGCAAATGCTATTCATTTTATCTCTAAACAGCCCGGATTGTAATTATGCATTTATTTTGGACCGATTTTTAGCATTCGATTGTGTCCACTGTTTCAAGGCTGATGGCGAAATTCCAACGTTTTGTCATTTGTCTTAGCAAACATCGAATATTCTGATCTATCCACGGATGGCAGTGATTCTTCTTCTGTGAGACTATGCGGGATATAAAGGTTGAGCTATTTGATTGTACAACCACCAGGAATGAGTTCATGCATCTTCTACCGAAGCATCTGACTCACTTTTCCAGTTTTCAACCGAGGCTGAGGTGTCGATCGTCTTCATGTTTTCCCCACATATGTTAGGACGGGGCGGCGCAACTGCTTAAAGACCACAACAGCCATTAACTTTAATAAGACGACCCCATGGTCAATTCTCTCTGTACATAGAGTAAACATTATTTGACCGACATAACCGTATGTGAAGATTAGGTCCAAGAAAAAAGAGGAGTTCTGTAGGTCGTATTTGGTGGGATCTCTATTATACTTAAATGAAGCCAGAGCGACTGTGGTTTAATGCACTGTGTAATCAAACGATGTTTTTATTGATGCTACTTCTGAGTTTCCCCAATTCGCAGAAAGTGCATTAAAGTTACTTTCTATAAGGCTTTTACACATGTTTGACCAGAATTTAAGTTGATTTAGGAGGAAGTCGTCTATGACACATTTTGGACTGTGGTACGCCACAGTTACTACAATGTTTTGTCCTCCACATTTCACTACGTCAGTTTTTTGATTGATCTTCCACTGCATCTACAGACCGTATGGTTAGGATGATTTTCATGTACAGGATAACACTATCACCTACTGTTTAGCCTGTCAGCCATACAAAATAAGTAACCAAGCGACCGGTCTTCATTATGATACACTTCTAGCGTTAACCATGTTTCTGAGATGGCAATCATATCGGGGTTTTCTGTTTCCATCATATCTTCAAGCTCCACTACCAGCATTTATATAGAATACCTTTGATGTTGTGAAAAACTCTTTCGTACCACTCGGAGTGGTTTGGTGATCGTTTCGCTCTGAACTTTAACAATGTGAAATATAGGGCATTTTTACCATTGAGGTGTTATCCATTTATTTCTACCTCTATCGATCGTCACTCAGTGCGAGCAACCAGGCTGAGATATTCATGGACATATATTCCGGATCCAGAAAGTTTGCGCGAAATTTCCAGTATCAGGTTTCATTCTTCAGTAGAAGCAAAGTACCTCTTAAGAGGTGGCTTGTATGTGTACCTTTGGAACCCACATTTTGTCCTATTCTATCGAGCTTATGAATGCTAACTCCTGCCACTCTTTCCGAGAGTAGCTTGCTTTTAAGGACTTAATGCGATTTATATAGTGTTCAAATCTAGCTTTCGACCTTTTTTGGAAGGCTTTATTAATTTATAAAAAATTACTGGCCCGGAATCAAGATTGGTTCTGACAGGCTGTGAGATTTCGTTTCATAAACCCTTTTCATCCCTGCAGTCCGATTCGACATCAGACGTGCAAGTTTCATTCTTTTATCTTGATTTTTCAAATGCTACTGCTGGCAAGTTATTGACCTTATTTCGTTTCCTGATCAAATCGTATGCATTGTTCAGGCTTTGCTCCTTCCCTGTCTGTTTGTGTTTTAAACTTATATATTTTAGACCTCTCTGAAATCTGTTCCTTTTTAACGTACTTCCTCTTCTTCTTTGAAACCATGGCTACATATGTGTATTTGTTACCCACTACTTTATAGGGGTCCAACTTGGTGGTTTTATTCAAATTTATAGGCGGACTCATGATGATGCTCTCTGCTTCTCCAACGTATGACAGCTGCTTATCTGCCAATGGCTGTCTATCTGAGGGGATCGTTCTAGCTGTGTTTAGCAGCCTGATCGCCTCAAGAATCAGCCAAGACTTTTGAGGGCAGCATGGCTTGCAACACCTTTTATATTCAGCCGGTGTGAGTTTTGTGCGCATGTTGTGATACCACTTGTTGCGATTGTCACACTGCATTCATTTTTCCACCGGAAAAAAACATGTGGGTCTATCATAATGGCGTTTTGTTTGAGCAATTAGAATTGTCGAGTGAGCTCACGGAAAGAAAAACGCAAAAGTCTCTTTAAGCGCGGAAAAAAAACTTGTATCTCGAACAAGTGCTTTTAAACCGCTAAAAGTGGTAGACATAACACAAACACTGGAACTTTAATGTTACTGCAACTAAAAATTCAACCAAAATAAAAATAAAAGAAGCCTTTACACGTTAGGACACTCTTAAAACTAAAAAAATTACTCGACGAGGAAAAATACCACTATCGTTTTTAAAAAGCTCGCCACAAGTTTCATCACCTGTGCATGGAGACCTATACAAATTTACTGTTATATTATTATGTGTATTACTCATAAGTTCTGAAATTTTAAATATTTCTCGGGATCAGATGGCTGTAAACACTTAATAATGAGTAACTGCAGTCAGATATGTGAACATCCTTCGAATCAGTCAACCATGGATACGTATATGAAGATTTCATATTTTTATCTTATTCTATCATTGTTGCTTAACCGGAGACAGAGAATGTTCAAAGTATTTGTGATTTATCAGCAGAAAAATTCGAGACTAACAAACTTGCGTGTCCAGAGGTCTTGTGAAGTATGGAGAAAATCCAATGGAATCACTTTTTTATCTTATAAATGAGTGTATTAAATTGTAGATAAGATAATTAATTAAGATTATCTAGGTTTGTTTCTGAAAACTCTTCGTTGATTATGACTCACGAAACGTCGCAGGGATCGCAGCTAATTTTTGCCCAAATATAAATCGACATTTTGTACAGGTTTACAGAAAATATACTCCAAAATTCAGCCGGTTTCAAGGTACGTATCCTACTCTTACCGGTAACTATGATGTAGATAATTTATTTATTTTGGACTTTCGTTCAAATATCAAAGTACGTAACTCAGAAAGTCTAATGGTGTTTTGCCATGAAAAAGCGCGCTGCAAATTGATACAAAATGACTATGGTATCAATATAAAACTTTGAATAATAAAAACATAATTGAAAAACCTAGTTTCTTTAGTATTTCGTCGAAAACAGAACAGCATTATCAGCTAGATTCAGACAATTTTATCTATGATATGTATACTCTTTATGATTACATGATCTTCGCGTAGACCCTAAATGCTAGGATATATTTTTACATCATTCCATAACCAAAGTTTGCAGACCGTTCTCGAACTATTTTCCAGTATTCTCCATTTTTAAAATGCGTAAAAGAAGGAATTATTTTAATTACAGATTGTGTTGCATTAAATCAATTGGAGACAATTCTGTGTTATGAGTCTGTAAATTTCCGTAGCACAGTATTGTCTAGATCGAATAAATCTTTTAAATTGTCAGCATATACTTGTCAGTTGTTTGAAGCTAATAGATACTATTTAATATTCACTTATGAATAATTTGGATGATCATGATCAAATACTTGATAACTACAAGAAAGAATACTGGGTCATTGATATTTATCTTATTTATAATTTGACTAAGTTAGTTGAAAATCATATTTATCGGCTAAGATTCATAAGTCTAACATTAGGAATAATTGCAGAAGACAGCTGAGAGTTTTATACTTGAATTAAATGTGAAAGAGAAAAGATTATGATCATGAAGTTTCTAGGTTATCCTACAGAATCTTCTGCTCAAATACAAGCCATATGTAATTTTAATTCATATTAATGGCTTTGAAACTACTATGACAATTAACTGTTGACTCCTTTCTTAGCATAAAAATCAGGTTCGGAAGGCAATCTAAACATCGAGCAGCAAAAGTAGATTCCTGAAATTTGTAACCGTATGTCATAGATATAATTGGTACGCAATACACTAAAAACAAGAGACCTCTAACCTCAATAAATTTACACAAAATGGAGACCAAGATATAATTTCAGTGTTCCTATGATCATCTACACAGGTTATTATAGCAACAATCATAATCTAGAGTAGTAAACGTTTTTACGATCTATTGTCTAGTTCAACAGCTTCATCAAGAAATAAAATTCCAAAGCTTTATGTTGTTAGAAATTCATTACATTAAGCTTAGTAATACGAAAAAGAATTTCTAAATGGTTTGTATGACTGCTTCACTGTCGAACTGAAATCTCAGTAAATTCGATCTGGAAAAGATCAGAACAAATATACATCCAATATGCTAAGGGTTCTGTGATTTACTAAATTGTTAGAGAGTTCAATTAACAGTCTGTTCAGTGACTATTTAAATAACATTTTACCACTAACCCTAGAGAATTACTTTTCACTAAATTATATTTGGAAATACAATTGGCCATTTCAAAACACTGAGAGGTTCTATTTACAATGAAAGCGGATGCTTAGGTAACATTAAAGCATAACTTGTTTCGTCTATATTTCAGTTTCAAAAGAATTTTATGGCTACGCTGAGCCAGAAGCGTCAACAAATGATATTATTAATCCAGTAAATTTAGCTTCACTGTCCACTGTGTATGCAACATCTCAAGAAACTACCCCTCAGTTATCATTTTTAAATGATAATGAGTCGTTTATTGAAGAAATGTACGAGGATAATGTATTAAATAACAATCTTGGTGTGCCGTTAATCGTTGTTGTAACAAAGGTAAATGATTTGATGAAAAATATCATATTCAAAAATAACTCATAAATAAGTAGGAATTATTCCCTTTTTATAGTTTTCATTTCGATGGCACTTATATTTTTGCCTCTTTAAAGTTGTAACTATCACCCATCCAGTTTGTAAATGTTAATAGACGTAGAATTTGATAGGGGTGTGTATTGGTGGGAATTGCATTACCTCAAATTAACTCAAACAGAAGAAGTTAACTGTATATGAAACGTAAGTTGGTCAATATGACCAACTACAACGGAAACCCAAACAAAAATGATACGGTTAAAAAATGAAAAATTCGACTTCAGTACGAAGGGTTAGGAATAATGCTATGTCGAGATTTAGTGGAAGTTATAAAATAATTATAAACATGGCATATTTCATGTTCGACTTGAATATTTCTACTGGTGTCACTCAGTTAAAGATTACTTGTTACATTTGTGATTTTTTATGAGAATTTTACTCCAAAACAGAGGTAAGTAGTCGTAACACTCAGTTAATAAATGAATAAATCATCTTTTTTCGGATTTCATTATTAGAAATTAATATTTATTAGTTTTGGTCAACGAACAGTGTAATTTTATTAGATGAAATTTCACTCAAAACATATATTCTGTAAGCACACGCTTTGACACTAGCTGAAATCGTTATGAAATAACATTTTGTCCTATTTGAAACTCGTCAGCTGGATGTACCTGCGTCACAGAGTAGATGAGCACCCTAGGAATCGAACCCAGTACCGGTTGCCTTGAATGACATTGCGTTATCCGTTTTGTTTATGACTCCATATAGCCACTGGCTTGTGAAATGGGGTACATCCAGCTGACAAGTCTCATAAAGAACAGGATGAGCGTCATGGATTCCACTTCTTACCACCATTTACCTCCGCTTATAATGCTTGTGACTTCATGATAATACTATGGTAACCCACACAGGATGGATATGTACCAAAAAGAAACTAATGAATCTCAGTCCTCACTATCAATGCGAAGATGCTAACAACCAATACTAATAACCTACTCTATTACTTTTGCAATATTTTCGGGGTTAAATAAAGAGTTATAGTTTACTCTACATTGTTCTTTCGAAAAATCATAATAATTGGACTCATTCACTAAATATAATGTAAAAACAATTGTATTATTATTTCTATAGATTAAATTCAATTATTCAGTACAGATTAAATGAGATTTTATGAATTTCATTTATGTTTAGACTAATGACATCAAAATATCTACTATCAAACATTTGATTCAAAAAAGCTAGCAATGCAATACCTTTAAATCCTAATAAGATCATAATTATTTATTTACACAAACCATCCAACTCAAAGAACGAAATCCCATCAAAATCATCCATCTGAGTTACAAATCTTCTTCACCATCTCATTAAAGCGTCTGAAACAATCAATTTTAAATTATATTGTGAAATGTTAATTTATTAGTAGGTTAGTAATAATCCATAATAATTATATATCGAAATATTTCTTTGAATAGTAAACTAATCTTGTTTAAGCAAAGATGGATAGTGGCTGGCAGTGGAATCCAGGACGCGCGCCTCGTCCTGTTCGGGACTCCTCAGCTGGACGTACCTGCATCTCAGAGTTGATGTTCACTCTGGGACTCGAACTCGGTACCGTTCGTTTCAAACGCCATCGCGTTGTCCACTTAGCTACTGAGTCCTGACAGCCACTTGGTTGTGCAATGGGGTGAAGTTTAATTCACTTGATATTGTTTTACTTAAATCTTACCATTGATGTTTTAGGACTGAAATTGATCAATCTCTTATTGGCATATGTGCATACTGTGCATATGCCTCGATATTGCCTTAATTTACAAGCATTATAAGCAAAGATGGATAGTGGCTAGTAGTGGAATCCAGGACGCGCGTTTCGTCGTGTTTGCTTGTAAATTAAGGCAATATCGAGATATACGCACAGTATGCACATATGCCAATAAGAGATTGATCAATTTCAGTCCTAAAACATCAATGGTAAGATTTAAGTAAAACAATACCAAGTGAATTAATCTTGTTTAAGTTTCTTGAATGTGATGGAAGTTATTTTTATATCTAAAAACATAAATTTACTAATTAGTGTTAAAAGGAGATAAGAATAAATAAGTTGCAATATATTATCTCGAAAATTATTAATTACTTAGTGATAAAAATCGAGTGAACAGAATTCAAATCGGATTTCTCCTAAAATATCTACATGTCAACTATGTTAATGACATTTGTATTCTTTTATAAACTAATAAATTTTTTAAATAAACGAAATGATTATCAGTAACCGATCACAATCAAAATAGCATCGGGTAAGGAGATCTTAAAAAGAAGAATATATTTGTAAAATCTCAGCGAATGAATTTTAAGTAAATCCAACGTTTCGCCTGGCAATCTGGTCCAAGCTTTTTCAAGGGAAATATAATCAAACAACAAAATTATCGAATATAAATAGATACAAGGTTCTTCGGTTTACTGTATACTGAATAAGTCATTCAATCAACGTGAAGGAGATCTTGTTGAAAATTTATGATATATTACTTGACTTTATTAAATACAATTTTACAGTTGTATTGAAGATAACATATGTGTTGTGAAGCTACTCACACATGCATACATGAAATGTATATAAAAATGAAATTATACCTCTTCTGATTTTTTCTAAAAATGTAGCTCACTCTTATGAATCTGTTAACTTTAAACGAAACATAGGCTAGAGATAGTTTTAACCACAAAATGACGGGAAAGAAAAATACGATGAGAATCACAAAGCACTGAACGATTCTTCTGTCCTATTTTAGGACTATTTTATAGTGCACACTCTTAAAACAACATCTGATTGGAGCTAGTACCTTCAGGTTTCGTAGAGTGTCCAGTAATATTTGTTTACTGACCTAAAATCAACAAATGCTTGTTTTAAAATTCAAGTGATTCGCAGTATAACAAAATCATCTGCTATTTACTAGTTACTGTCTCATTCTTGACTTAATCAACACCATAAGTGTTGGGTTCCCGTGAGAATGTAGAAATTGATCACTAATCTAGTCAGCGATGAACATATAGGACTGTTTAAAGGCTTTGTATGATAAATTGAAAACTTGTTTTCCTAATAAAGAATAGTAATCTTCAACTATGGTGTGAGCTTTGATATGTAGCCGGCAGAGTAATTCTGTAGATGCAAAGGTCGAACGATGACCATTTTATAAATTTAGAACTTTCTGAGTCAATGATGGATACAGTCTAAAATTGCATTAACTTTTGTATAATTATCTGATGCATTCTTAAGAAAAGACTTCTAGGAGTACAGTTTTGATAATACTAAAATTATTTGTCTAATAGCGTGCTTTGTATTTAATAAATAAAAGTTGAGATAATTGTTCACTAAATTACAGATGATGCATAGAGGACAATTAAATGATCAAATAAGAAGCCATTAATTTTAATAGATTGAGATAACCATTTTTATGTTAAAAGAAAATGAACTTTTTAAGAAAAATTCTGATTCAAGTAGCCGATTACGTATCTTTATATTATATCCCACTTGTAATAACCAAATATAAATACTAGTAAAGGTGTACTGAATATGCATGCATTAAACTTAATGAATTAATCTTACTGTGATCTTTTCTGCTTATAATTTTGAATATGCCAAGAACAATAGAAACCATAGTGTCATAACATAATTATGTAAAACGAAGATAATCACCTATTATTCTGGTTCACTAGATGATGTTCTCATTTTACCTAAATAATTTATTGATCCAATACAAAGTATTGTAAAATCAAGAAAATAAGATTATCGTCTTACAAGGAAGAATTATATTACTATGATTAAAATTTGTTAACATTTGTCAACAATAGAAAACAATTGCATGAATAAGAAGTTATATTTGACTCAAAGTAGATGTTTTTTTGCTACAAGCACGTAAAGCTCCTTGATCATATGATTGTTTAAACTGGATATTTATTTACGTAGATAAAATGTTTGACAAAATATAAATTAAAGTAAAACGACAGAATGGTTTAATTATACCTCTCTGTAAGATGGACCAATCAGTCATTTGATCTGTAAATCACTAACTTGAAATTGTTTCTTTATGAAAGAACTATTTAATTTATTCAGTTATTTGTACGATCGCAAGCAGTAATATAGTTAAACTCATTGACCACTTGGTTTATCATGTATTTTTAATCATTTTTTTTATAAAAAAAAGAGTACCAAAGCCTCGCCTGGATTTTTAAATTATTCTACTAGCAGCTTAAACTGCCTATCAGATAGCGAGTGAATTCCAGGAGACTACTATGTTTTGCTTTAAAACTATGAATAATATATTTCATTATACTTAATATAAGAACACTGCTAGCCTTTGGTGGAATGACTGAATAAATAATGTGGGTCTTCTGTAGAGAGTTATAGGTAGATATTGTGACACTGATTAGACTGTCAATGATCATTTATATAGGGTGATCAAGACGTGTGTTTTATACACTCAGTCAGCAAAAAATCTAACAGAGTAATTATTCTAGCTAGTATGGGCGTAGGTCAGAAAAGCTTTAGAAATGGTTAAACTACTACATGTCATCAATCCATTTAGTTAAGAATTGAATACCACGTCAGAAGCTACTGTCTGTCCGTATCAGTCAGTCAAGAATGATTAATATAGACCTAGCCTCATAGATTTCTATGTTCGGAATATTTTGTCAGTCAAAGTTTTGATTCTGAAACGTTTCAATTCTATCTGAAGATACAAAAAATAAGACTTAATTAAATATTTAAAACTGATAACTATTCATAGATTTCCATCGATTGAATAAATTAAAAGAACTTGTATTTGGTTAAAACTTGTTAGATAACTTATGGTGATTTGAACTTTACAAAAAAAACTGTCAATTACAAATATCTATCTAGAACCAAGTTTCACTTTCTTATAAAGTTTCATAATGATGTTATCCTGATTGAATATGAATGGAACTAGAAATAAAGATGCTTCAAAAACATCAAAAATAATATTAAGCATGAACTGTTCATTAGCTAATATCACACCATTTTGTAACAGATCATTAAATTAAAACAATTATCATTAATTATAACATATTAATGACTGATCGAAAAAAATTAAGCTATCAGCTTAAATTTATTCTTTGACAAATGACAATCATCTTTAGTTCATGATAAATAATTAAAAACGAACATCCTAAAACTAATTGAATAAATTTTTGTGTTAAAAAGTAACATATTTTTTTACTGATTTACTAAGTAAAGAGATTTCATGCTCTTGGAATTACTCGATATCTACTCTTACAATTTGTCAATTCTTGCATATTACCTATCATTCTTTACTGTTCTCCATTATGCTTTCCCGGGCGTTTGAGAAAAGACTTTGCTGTATTGCGGAAAGTGCTGAAAGCAGTTAGCAAGGTGTGTGGTGATTCTCTCGAGGTCATAATTAATATGGTTGTGGATAGACATCTAAAGTCATGCAAACTCCTGGCATGTGTTATTTTATCAGATACTAACCATCCCCTTCACTCTTATCTTTCTCCTTGTATATTTTCTGGTAGAACGAGATGTAAATACATTAAAATTCATGCACGCAAGCGAAAGTATAAAAGTTCTATAATACCTTACCTAGAAAATATACTCTGTGACGAACAGGTTGTTAGAGTTAACCTAGTCAATAACTTGCCTTCTTAGGATATTAAGGTTATCATCATAATAATAAAAGCTCAAATAAATGAACATATGGATAAACAAAAAAATTGTTATTTTTTCAGAATAGTAGTATATTTCGTATTTAAAACAAAATATATGGTTTAATTATATACAACCATAATATTCGTTTTAACCTGTACTACTAACTATTGGTTAAACTTGCATATAGTGAACTCAGCTATTAGTTTACAATTTCCTACATTATACAGATCATTAGTGGTTAGAAACTGTACTCTATGGAAATTTTACTCTATTCAATACTTATAAATATAATAATGAGAGATTTAACGAGTGCAAATGAAATAGTGTATAATGATTTCAATATACATTTATTTAACGTTACACGGACTATATTTCAATGTAATAATTTAAAAAAATTTCTCGCCTTATAATGTTTTATCCTGAAACTAAAACAGACGGACTTAATGAAGATAATGATCAAAGAAAATCAATATTCAGAAGAACATTTTGATTTTATACAAATGCATATACGACGATTTTGTCTTTCGTGTGAGTTGTTATGTTTTCTCCCTTAACAACTGATATGTTTCACATTTTGCCACTTATTAGTATTCAGACCAAATGATTATTTTAACTTTGAATTATGTAACATCTTGATGAACTAGTAATACAGTCATTAGTAATATTAATTATTACTAGGGAAACGGTATGCAATCAAGGTCGAGTGACTGATCAACTCAATCATCTCGGACTGGTTACTGACAGAGTAAAAGATCAAGTTATTATTAGTTTTGATTGCAATAATCAGACGATGGCTGAGAGATGAATTGCAATAAAACATTCTTTTTCTAATTAGCAAACCAGTAGAAATTAACGAACTGAAATGATTAAACAGAACAGGGTTTGCAAACCTCGTTTTATTGCTCTATTTAAGTTTATAAAAAAATCTAGTAGTGTAAAAAATTAAATGTTATTTTTTATGTGGATAGAATCAATCTTAAGAGCTAACCTTTCAAAATAGAAATTCTCTTATTATAACCCAGCCACTCGTATTGCTTAGTACTCTTGGGCACTACTTCACTAAACAAGTCCTCGAATCAAAACACAGTTGAACAGAAATGTAATTGTACTTCGAATAACAAGGTTGGATGGAAGTAAGAATCGCAATAGGAAGAACGTTAGTATACTTATAATTTTTACATAACATTCAAGAGTCTTCTACACGTATCCGTTAGCTTTGATTGGTTACGAATAGTTAATCATCATGCTCCATCACAATCTTGCATGGAACATTCTTCATTCTAATCTATATCCCACTAACAAAGCTATTTGCTTTTAGGATAATGAACTTAATATTTTCGTTTTATACGGTGTTACTCGAATGAACTCAATTTAAATCTTTGACATTGTATATAAAATCTCAAGATTCCAGTTGATTATAAGATAATATCGCTTTTAACTCATTCTCTTGAAATGACTAACAAGGATTTAATTTAGATTAAGTTGTTTACAAATGAACTCGAATCGAGGTGCTAAATACTCAAAGTTGGAACATTTGTAGAGTCATGCACTCGAAAATCTCTGGCAATTTTTTAAAATTTAATGTTGATAGTTCCTGACATCACAGTCCACTAAACATACAAGTAAACTTTAATGAGCATGTATAAGCTGCGGATGAGTTTTCCTTAAAATTTCATTTACTACAATACGAAAATATTTATTTTTCATCAAACTATTGCTATTTGAAACGTACAATCATATATTATCCTATAAAAATCTTGTAGATGGAGCAGCATTATTTTATGTGTCAGTGAAAGAAGATAAAAACTGTGATTTACTAAATCGTTACATTCGGCATCGTATTTATGGGTTTCCTTTTAGTCAAAGTGCGTATATAGTAGAAGGAGATTGTATTTTCATGTAAGTGACTATCGAATGTATTTACCCTTTGTGAACTTCTGGAAGATATTTTTGTAATGAGAGAATATATGAACATAAGAAAATCAGAAGCTATTTTCTGGTTAATCAAAACATATTTTTAATATTTACTAATTAACTAAATGATTCATGATATATTAATTCCATTTAGACTACTAACTGTTATCGTTTTTTTTTTTCATACATAATTTATCATAGATTAGTTACAAATCTATTGCTCAGAATTTGTTCCAAAATATCCTCATAATGTGCACAATGTGATTTGTTATTTACGATACGTTCTGTATTTGTATTGCACATAATCACTCTAGTTTTAAGTTCATTAATGTGAATATGGTACTGGTTTGGGTTTCTAGCGATCTGATTTGTGGTTGAGGATGGAAAATGTTTTGCCTGAATAAGTCGACGTTAGCATTTACTCTAACTGAGTAGTGAAAATAATGTTATTGGCGTAAGCGGGAAATATAAAAATGTCAAGATAAATGTGAAGTTCAGAGACTGGACGATCAGAGTCAAGAAAAATCCCGAAAAAATCTATGGACTAATAATAGGCCTTTTGCCTTCTGATAATGGTTTGAGGAGACTGATGTTCTATATCCATATGGACGGCCAATGTAGAAATAAGCTGGAAGGAAGCTAGGGCAGACTAAACAAAAAACGCGATATTAGTCCACTAAGTCAGGGACTGTTGGATTGAGCCATATCAGTAGGTGCAGACTACCTGATTGGGGTCTGCGTGATTATCGTAACCAGTGGTTATAGACTTGAATGACATGGCTCCACACCGTTTTCATTTATGTAAAATCTGTTAACCCTTAGTAGTGCTATTGTTTTCTTTTTCACAGACTATTCAGTTTTAAAAAGTTTACCTGATTAGCCAAGAACAGACTAAAAATTTGCCTCGATTATTTTAAGCTAGCCCTCATTCTGTGCTCATATTCACAACTGCTGCTACCTTGGTTTCCATATGACAGTAAAGTGGTCTTAAAAACTACCAGCTGAGACCTTTAAGGGATGAAAGAATACCTATAAATGATTGATAATTTCTGAAGTACCCTTTAAAACTAGCTACAATTTACAATGATGATAGTGTTTTTAATGAATATTATGATCTCACATTTTGTAAATAGTGGTTTATCTTGGCAAGAAACTAGATCTTTGATTTGTTCAATAAATATTCATCTTTAGAAATCTGAATAGGAAAAGAGACAAAATAGGCTGAATAAGAAAAACATATTACAAAGATATATCATTTAAACTGTTTCAAATCAAAGAAGCAAATAAAATTAGTAAAATATCGAATTCTGAAACTAACATAAAACTGATATCTAAACATTGATTAAACAAGTAAAATTAATAATAATAAGATAGCAAAATATAGATATACGTCCACTGTTGTGAAGTGATATCTGTTTGTTTAAGATCTGAAATTGCTTATTATATCCAGTCCATGCTCTAAGAGACTCGTTAGTTACATGTTTGATAATTGTTAGTGTTAATTTGCCTCCACTAGCTAGTGTTGCAAACTTTTGTACAATACACTTCAAATGATGACTTCATAAGGGTCACCCAGTTCTTCAGATGCACAGATAAAATACTATAATTTTTTATCATATAATCTGTTGTCATTATCGGTGTTATATAGCAATATGCATTGACAAAGATTTCGCAAAGCTTGCTAATTAACGGTATTACCGTATCCTCTTTTACTTATCGCTGTTTATATCGTAGATTAGAAACTCAAACGTTAATAGATTATTAATTATTCAATGTCAGAGATCTTAAACTGTGAACGGTTAGTGAAAATGTTGCTTTAGGAATTATATGTTAGTGTTAGTCTTGTAATTTGTTTCATACATAACAAATCTATTGTCTGCTATCAAATTATATGGAATCAGGTGATTCGGTTTGCAATTGAAGCCATTAAGGAACGTATTCTCATCAATCTCTAGTCCTATGATAATATGTGTAGTTAAATAATACAGGAAATAAAATTCGTTTCACATGGTCTTATATATATATATATATACTGTCTTTATATTAGTTATGTCATACTACTACTCTTTGGGAACTTTGTCAACAAAATTCATGGCACTTATTTACTGTTGACACTAGTATTCCATCAAATTTGTATTGATTATTGAAAGAATATAGACCAGTTACTAGACAGACTTCTAAGGCAACACAAAAATAGGTCGACAAATAGTCTGGTATTAAAAATGCAATTTGAAGTAAAGGGAACTGTAAAGTTAAACTAAAGTAATGAAGGCTTACCGAAACCAGTCTATCTAAATATACACAATCAGTCCATCAAAAGCCTTTCAGAGATGAATTACAAATATATTACACAGATAGACATCTAGCAACAATGATAAAATATGAGGTCTGATATGAAATACATGAAATAAAGCTGTCTGGTGAGAAAGAATAGAAATAACAAAGTCAAGAGGTAATTAGTTATTATAAAAATTAGGGATTAGAAGCTGAACAAAGGTAAGGTTTTTGGTTCGATTTCGTTTTTTGACAGAGATCTCAAGTCTTGTCGTTTAGTTTTCTGTTGATTCTTGTATTTACCTTTGAGTATATTAGTGGGGACGAGATTTATAGTATAAAATGTGCACTAATGTATAATGACACTTGATTCATAAGCACTAAATGTTTAAATACTCTAAAAATGGTCTGTTCAACTAAATTCACGAGAATAGTGAGACTTATTCCATATCATACATAAGAGATTCTTTTGAAAATGACTGTTGTGTATAAACACATATCCTCCTTCTGCTTTTGGCGCTCGGGAAATATTCTGGCTCTCACGCAAATCGAATGATGGAGTGTAGTGCATATATGATTGGTGCCTTGTATCAGTGTTTATGTGTTTAAATATATATATATATATATATATATATATATATATATATATATATATATACATGAAATTACTACAACATGAATTTTATACTGACATTTTATAAAGATCTTTGGTTCATCTCGTACAAAGCCATCAGAAGAGGTAGGTTTACGCCTAAAACTGAAACACAGCTTGCAGACATGTGAAAATGTCAGAATGAATCCATTACTAGTTTCACATACACTCTCCAGATACGTTGTATTTTAAAAACTTATTTATTTTCTTATACCAATAGCATGTAGCAGCTAAGAGATTTAAGGGAACAATTAGATTCTGTTTGGATTTTGATCAGTCTCAGTTGATTTATATGTATTCTGAAGATTGTCTCGATATATACAGTAGTTCAAAAGTTTTTTCTAGAATAGATGGGATGTATCTAGAAGTGGAATTCGGGATGCTTGTTTCGTTCTGTTTGTGACTCATCAGCCTGATGTACCTGTATCTGAGAATTTATATTTAGTTAAACGTATCAACAACTGGCCATTCCATAATTAGTTACTGTGTCCATTAGGCAACTTATGATAATTTTAAAAATAAGTTTATCTGTTAAGTCTGACGTATAAAGTATTACAAAACAAGGCATGGAACATTATTTTGGAGGGGTTCCACTTCAATATTCAGATCTTTAATGAACAGTTTATGGTGCTATATCAGTGTTGGACTGATATGAACAGTAAGAGCATTAACTCTAGATTCAAAATATAAAAAGACGATAAGTCCTACATAAAACAAAATCTGTGTCGTGGGTTTCAGTGCTAGGGATTATGGAAGAAAAAAATATGCAAGCAGAAGAAAAAAGTAAAATGATGCTCATGGTTATACAGGAAAATTAATTCTTTGCATTTATTCTGCGCAAAAAAATATGAAATGAAAAGAAGGACATTTTTCGTATAAGCATAACAGTGAAATATCAAAAATTACCTTGTTGGTTTTACAATCAATTAATTCCATTAAAAGGGATAAAAATGATTAACCTATTTATAAATTTTATACAATGTGAAACGTGATTAGAAAAATGACTGGGCTCTCAAAATAAATACCTAGTTCAGAGAGAAAGGTGAAACATGAAAACTAAGTCTTTAAACGCTCTCTGTCATAGAACGTTCTTTAAATTACAAACCAGAAATTTTGTATTTGGCAAAAGCAACAACGTATAAATGCTTGGATATTATAATTAAAGTATAAAAATGGGTTGCATTTATCATAAGAATGTATGTGTTTTATGTGTAGAGCAGTGCGAACTCAATTTAATTTTCTTTTTAATGAGAAATACAATTAATAACCTTACGATTTTTTCCTATCTTTATATTTATTGTTCAGTCCAGCAGGTTGGGATAATCATAAAAAGATTAATATCCTAGGTGAAAATTTAACAAAAATCAATGCACAGCATCCTTTTTCTACCGTTATCCCAAGACCAGTACCACGTAAAGCAATTCACAGAGAACCAGAGATCATGGCCATTGATGAACAGGTATGCCGTAATACTTGTCATTTACTTTTTAAAATCATTACATAATACTCGTTGCATATAACATATGTTGAATATATGTCCATAAGTTGTACAAAAAGGACTCACTTCTGGGGTTGTTAATGGATGAAGGGAGATCTTAGTAAATTCGGAAACTGCAGTGAAACCATACTACTTCCAATACTAGGTGTTTTTCGACAGAATATTTCTGAATAAAATGAATGATTCAGAAGACCTTCAACTTTGAGATTAATAAAGCTGTCTTTCGCAAAGATCAATCATATACCGAACAAACTGATGCACTAAGGATCATCGTTGTCTAGTCAGTCGGATGGAACTCGTCACAATACATCAACTTTCTTGATTATGAGAGAGCATTCGATAGAGCTAATAAACAAACTTTGTGGAACTTCTTTAGACATTATCGTGTATCTGAAAAGCTTTTCACCATTATATAGAACTCTTACAAAGGACTGGACTACAAAGTCGTACCTGAAGGACAGTTCACAACTCCATTCCAAGTGATAATCTGTCTCAGACGAGATTACCTAGTCCCACCTTTTCTCTTCTAGATAATAACTCAGTTATGAAGATAGTATTAGCGGTAATAGAGAAGACCAGGGATCTAAAATACGACTCAGGCAATGTAAATTAGTGACATAAAAAATTGAGGAACTTAAAGGATTATAATTTGGGGAAGACAAAGAATGGATGCACCTACGCCTTTATTTTGACGGATCAATTTACTGCCTGTATGTGTTGTCGGGAATTGGTGAAGAGATTTACTCAGGACCTAGAAATCTTAATGGATCCAAACGCATATCACTTCTGGCATTTGACCTACATAGTACCACTACACATAGTAATAATTGGAGATTTAACTAGACAGATTCAAAAATTACTTAGGACTGAGTCCCAGTAGTACATGAGCAAAATGGGTATTCAGCATTTTAAATAAGTTTGCTTAGTGAAAGCTAATGATTGATATAAGTGATTTATCTATATATTACTTTCAAATAGATCTAATTTTAGATTCCCATTAGTATCTTCATTTAAATTAAGTCGTCATGACTAAAGAAATCACCACTTTTTATGGGAAGCCTATTACTATTTATTATGTTTAGCGATAATCTTGTTGTAACTAGAGTATACCACTTAATGAGTCTATAGAATGCAATGATGGGGAAAAGTTGCAACTCAGAAGAATTGTTACTGATTTTTTGTCCATTACACTGGATAGCCTAATCGACTGGAGTGTCCAACCCAAATAAGGCAAAATCTTTAAAATATGTAAAATAAAGAAAACGCTTTTAAATATTACAATAGCTACCGTGAATAAACGATGAAGTTACCATTTTCATAACAAAAAATGAGAAAAAGATTCTTTAGGAAACGTTTCCTGAGTTCTGAATTATTTTCCTAAAAAGGTATTTGTTTCTAATTTGCGAATCATCAGTAGTGTACACCTAATATAAGTCCGTAAGCGAAAGCATTCTCCCATTACACTAATTTCAACAATCTACGAAACCAAATAATAAAGCAGGGCCGACGAGCCTTTAACTAGGACAAACCATACGTACAGCGCTTTTTTGTTCATAATGCTTCTTTAGATGGTATCAGTTAATACTGCAAACTACCATCACCATAAGTGGTTCACTGAGACACACAGAATATATATAAATATATAGTCACAATTGATTGATCACTGGGTGGTGATCAATCCCATGTGTGTCAAGTCCCTCTTAGTGCAGATCGAATGCTATCGACCACGGGATGGAATCCTTCAGGGAGCACCAGTTCCCTCAAGATTACAGGTTCACCTTGCTGACAAGTGCCAAGTAGCATGAAACCCGGGTCCGGGTTTTTCTGTTGACTCCCTCCAACCACCATCTAATATATATACAGTGTTATAAACATTTGTATATTCTTGCAATTTTATATATAATAAGTTTCAAGGAATATTGCTTTTTTTACCTAATATAACAAAAAACCTGTAGCTATGGAGTATAATAATATTATAAAACCAAGATTTCAGAATAATACACATATTGTTAATAATTGTGAGAATCTTAAACCTTACATGAAAAACAAACACATGACTACAACTTCACCTCAATTATAAGTGTGTTCAATTAAAGAATCTGTGTGAAAATTTCTATTCCTATTTAATTATTTTATCAAAAATATAAAACTTTTTTTGTTATATTCAGCATAAATATTGTTTATTACAACGTGGTTAATAATAAGTTTAAATACTTGGTTTATTGTTTATTTATGTGCATAAAGTAAACTATTAATCCTACTAAGGTATGACATGGTCTGTTTTGCAACCAGCTTATTTTTCCAGTAATAGTGCTATTGTATTGAACAAGAACACAGGTGAGGACAATCGAATGTATTTAACACAAGATTACAGGACTTGTTAATAAAATCTAACAATCATAAAGTAAATGCTTAATTTGCAAAATGTTCATCGATTGTCTCAAAATGACTCAGACTTCATTGTTCTTGCATCTTCATACAAATTACATCCTGTTTCCATTCTTTATTGTTCGATCCTCTTGTCTCTCTGCTGCCAGACCTTCTGTTTACGACTAACATCATATACTACTTATGTCAATATAAGTAGCACACACCACACTATCAAAAAAACTAATAAACATTGAAGCAGTTGGAAATTTTCGAGAAGCAAGAAGCTCAAAAAGATTTTTTTTCATATTCACTTAATCAGTAATGCAAAATCAAATGTTTTTTAAACAGTATATACAAAAGAAAGGCTTCAGTAAAAACAGGTACATAATATTGTCTGATATTAACGTCAAACTAGTTTGATGAAAAAATAATCACCATTCTGTAATTCATACAATTTACAATTCTCAATTCATAAATTTTGAGTATGAAGCTATCCTTCTGATTGCCAGTAATTTATGTGAAGCTTTACAATCTGTTGCGTAAAAGGACATACATTGTAATTTATTACATAGCTTTAATTTTCTGTAATGGAATAAAACTAGATATTTTTGCCATTCGACTTTTCCAAAAAATTATCATAGGTGCTTATTAGCCAATCAATAATTATTTTTGAAAATTGTTTCAAGTTTTTTAAATACGGAATATAATTTGGTGGGGTTTTATTACATGTTACTGATTATTGTAGGCTTTTCTCCTTCGACTTTCAACAATCAAAGAAAACGAGAACATAGATCCTAACATGCTAAAAGAATTTTTAGGCTCTGGGGGTTTACCGTCCAATTCAAAACAGCCTACAAATAGTTTTAAAATTGGATCAGGTGCTAAAACCATGGATGATAACAGTCGTTTACTGGTCAGTCCAACCCCTATATTTCGTACAAAAGTAAGTTGATTAATAATGAAGCGATAGATACATGAATAGTACGGTGGTGGATAAATACAATTTGATTACTGGTTATTTGGTTCAGTAGGGTGTGTAGAGCTACAAAAATCTGATTTCGTATTTCAATGAATTATGAATAATATTTAACAAATAATACCAAGTAAAATATGTTTTTTTTAAATACTGTAAGCCTATAATCTCAGTAGCGATAGTATTTAAAACACAGAAATTTCTTTACTGACTTTATAGAGACTTTTAGACTCTTGGTACTACAAATTTAGAAGTATGAACAAAATCAAAGGCGGAGATATGGTTGAAAAGTTACTACAAGTTCCTGAAATCACCTGGAAAATATGCCAAAATCAAAAATAATCCATGGATTCGATCAATCATATTAGGAAGGAACCTGAATATAACAGGTTATGAAGTGTGTTGATTCATCAAACCTATTAAGGACAATTCTCGACTGTTGTGAGATTTTTAAAAAGATTTTCGATGGCTCTTAATAACAAAGATTTAGAATAAAATACGTGCAACAGTTTACAAAGAGTTTATATTAATTTTAAGATCAATGTATACTGATTATCTAACATTTCATCCATTTTCAACATTTTCTGAACAGATTTCTCCAGTAGGTCCAACAAATAATTTAACTAGCACTCCTTCTATACAAGGTACTTCAGATGGCGTACTAGCTGATTTCTTTTCAAATCTGCTTAAAAAGCGACCAGTTGTAAATAACACTACTGGAGAAACGTCTACTGAGCCTCAGCTTCAACGTACATCACTATCATCAGGTAAGCTGAAATACCAATAAATTTAGTACACACAACTAACAATGTTGTCCAGATACATTAAACTATTATATTGCTTTTGTAAAAGCTATTAAATGAGTTCTAACATTGAGAAAAACTGGTCAACAGATTAATGCTTTATTAAAACCTATTCAATAAATGAAGTACAGAATGTAAAATGCTTCTCATTTAAGAATTTAAGTCGCTATACATTAAATTAAAGAATGTTTGAATATTGACGTACAAATATATGTTTGCCCACAACTTCGAATACATTGGTTGCTTGGATCTTCCCACTAGTGTTTTAGGCTGTGATTGATCAGTCTCTGCACAAGCTTGTGGCTATCTAGACTTAGTAACTAAGTGAATAACGTGATGGAGTTTGAAGCAAACGGTACTGGGTTCAAGTTCCGGAATGAACGTTAACTGTGGGATCCAGATACATCCAGCTGACGCATCCAAAATAGGATGAAACGCGTGTCCTGGATCATAATACTAGCAATCATTCATCTCTGCTTAAAGAAAACCTCATGGTTTGTTTGCTGATGAAAAACGATGGCTATAGAAATAGGATATTCTGATATATATCCATACAGTGTAGAAACTTTTCTACGTGAAATTGACGGAAACATTAGAAAAATAACAAAAACGGGTGATGGGTGGTAAGCACCTATTGGGTTGCATATAATCTTGGTTAACATTAATGCATGAAATTTGAACTGAATATTACAAGTACTGTAGTGCTACCATAGATTTGAACTGGATGAAAAAAATCCAAATGATTACCAGATATAGTTAATATTGCCATCTCAGTAGTACTTATTATTATTATTATTATTATTATTATTATTATTATTATTATTATTATTATTATTATTATTATTAGCTTTATTCAATATTATAATTTTGGTACAATATAGAATTCTCAGCGCAAAGTATTTCAACAAGTTTCCGTTTCTTTCTTCTTAGTCGGTCCTGGCGATAAATATTGAGGAATCGCCAGTTAGATGTTAGCACTTCAGTGAATGAACAACTGAATAATGTACATTCTTTTCGTCGTACATTGCCAGCAACCATATTGTCTCTTATTGAGTTTTCTGTAACTTTGACAACGAAAGGTTGTACACTTTTCTGAAACGCAGCAGAATAGGTTATGCGATTAATAAACATAATGATATATTAAAACAAACAACAATAGAAAACTTGTTGAAATATCTAGATGGCAGGAACAGGTAGCCCAGATGCTCAAGCAGGCCGCCCTAGTACTTCTTAACTGTATGTTCACACTATTGACATCTTACTGCATAAAAATATCCAAGTGAATTAGATCAAACATAATTAGTTATAAGTGATAAAGGTTAAGACGTCATTTAAAATATCTGTTCGAAGAGGAGAAAAAGTCCTAGAATCAAACGTTTCACACAGAATACACACAAAATGCTCTAAAAAATGAACATATTTATTAAATGAACTCAAATGATTAGTTATTGTAGGTTTCGAATATGGAATATCATTTAATAACTAAAAACTTTATAATTTGTAGACCAAAAAGACAAACAACAAGACAACATGGATACAAGTGTAAAATGTTCAAGGAACAGCATAGATAAAGACGAATACACGGAGACAGATCATGAAAAAGCGAAAAACGAGAGTGACGATAAAACAAATAATGCGTCAGGAAAAGTAGAAAAAGATAAACCTCAACAGAAGCAACAATATGAGATAACAAAAGGAAATAATGGAAGCGAAGAGTTGGAAAAATTACTAAGGTACAAAGAAAATATACAGTCAAAAAGGGAAAATACAAATAGCGAGTTACAAGAGACGAGTAATCAGAACCTCCAAAATCAAAACAAAACTCCCACTGAACTCAGAGAAAAAATTGGTGAAGTGGATAGGGCACAAAAATTCAACGCTCCTTTGGTCGCTTGTATGAATGCGTCGAAGACACACTTAGATCCAATGACTGATCAACCACCTGTTGTCGAGTTGTCACAAACATCAGATAACCTGACTGACCACATTGACACAGAGCATCTAAACAACCAACTCCACACCTCTTCTAACAACACAAATCCCACTGATCTCAACGACGAAATCAATGAAGTGGACAGTGCACCGAACTCCGAGTCGACAATTGTTCCGAGTCACATATCTCCATTGTTAGGACACACCTCGGAAACCAGTATCACTACAATTCGCAGTGACACGATGACTGAAGGTCGTTCTGACGAGAATCACGGACTACCTGAGACTAGTCATCAGGACCTCCAAAATCAAAACAAAACTCCCACTGAACTCAGAGAAAAAATTGGTGAAGTGGATAGGGCACAAAAATTCAACGCTCCTTTGGTCGCTTGTATGAATGCGTCGAAGACACACTTAGATCCAATGACTGATCAACCACCTGTTGTCGAGTTGTCACAAACATCAGATAACCTGACTGACCACATTGACACAGAGCATCTAAACAACCAACTCCACACCTCTTCTGACAGCACAAATCCCACTGATCTTAACGACGAAATCAATGAAGTGGACAGTGCACCGAACTCCGAGTCGACAATTGTTCCGAGTCACATATCTCCATTGTTAGGACACACCTCGGAAACCAGTATCACTACAATTCGCAGTGACACGATGACTGAAGGTCGTTCTGACGAGAATCACGGACTACCTGAGACTAGTCATCAGGACCTCCAAAATCAAAACAAAACTCCCACTGAACTCAGAGAAAAAATTGGTGAAGTGGATAGGGCACAAAAATTCAACGCTCCTTTGGTCGCTTGTATGAATGCGTCGAAGACACACTTAGATCCAATGACTGATCAACCACCTGTTGTCGAGTTGTCACAAACATCAGATAACCTGACTGACCACATTGACACAGAGCATCTAAACAACCAACTCCACACCTCTTCTGACAGCACAAATCCCACTGATCTTAACGACGAAATCAATGAAGTGGACAGTGCACCGAACTCCGAGTCGACAATTGTTCCGAGTCACATATCTCCATTGTTAGGACACACCTCGGAAACCAGTATCACTACAATTCGCAGTGACACGATGACTGAAGGTCGTTCTGACGAGAATCACGGACTACCTGAGACTAGTCATCAGGACCTCCAAAATCAAAACAAAACTCCCACTGAACTCAGAGAAAAAATTGGTGAAGTGGATAGGGCACAAAAATTCAACGCTCCTTTGGTCGCTTGTATGAATGCGTCGAAGACACACTTAGATCCAATGACTGATCAACCACCTGTTGTCGAGTTGTCACAAACATCAGATAACCTGACTGACCACATTGACACAGAGCATCTAAACAACCAACTCCACACCTCTTCTGACAGCACAAATCCCACTGATCTTAACGACGAAATCAATGAAGTGGACAGTGCACCGAACTCCGAGTCGACAATTGTTCCGAGTCACATATCTCCATTGTTAGGACACACCTCGGAAACCAGTATCACTACAATTCGCAGTGACACGATGACTGAAGGTCGTTCTGACGAGAATCACGGACTACCTGAGACTAGTCATCAGGACCTCCAAAATCAAAACAAAACTCCCACTGAACTCAGAGAAAAAATTGGTGAAGTGGATAGGGCACAAAAATTCAACGCTCCTTTGGTCGCTTGTATGAATGCGTCGAAGACACACTTAGATCCAATGACTGATCAACCACCTGTTGTCGAGTTGTCACAAACATCAGATAACCTGACTGACCACATTGACACAGAGCATCTAAACAACCAACTCCACACCTCTTCTGACAGCACAAATCCCACTGATCTCAACGACGAAATCAATGAAGTGGACAGTGCACCGAACTCCGAGTCGACAATTGTTCCGAGTCACATATCTCCATTGTTAGGACACACCTCGGAAACCAGTATCACTACAATTCGCAGTGACACGATGACTGAAGGTCGTTCTGACGAGAATCACGGACTACCTGAGACTAGTCATCAGGACCTCCAAAATCAAAACAAAACTCCCACTGAACTCAGAGAAAAAATTGGTGAAGTGGATAGGGCACAAAAATTCAACGCTCCTTTGGTCGCTTGTATGAATGCGTCGAAGACACACTTAGATCCAATGACTGATCAACCACCTGTTGTCGAGTTGTCACAAACATCAGATAACCTGACTGACCACATTGACACAGAGCATCTAAACAACCAACTCCACACCTCTTCTGACAGCACAAATCCCACTGATCTCAACGACGAAATCAATGAAGTGGACAGTGCACCGAACTCCGAGTCGACAATTGTTCCGAGTCACATATCTCCATTGTTAGGACACACCTCGGAAACCAGTATCACTACAATTCGCAGTGACACGATGACTGAAGGTCGTTCTGACGAGAATCACGGACTACCTGAGACTAGTCATCAGGACCTCCAAAATCAAAACAAAACTCCCACTGAACTCAGAGAAAAAATTGGTGAAGTGGATAGGGCACAAAAATTCAACGCTCCTTTGGTCGCTTGTATGAATGCGTCGAAGACACACTTAGATCCAATGACTGATCAACCACCTGTTGTCGAGTTGTCACAAACATCAGATAACCTGACTGACCACATTGACACAGAGCATCTAAACAACCAACTCCACACCTCTTCTGACAGCACAAATCCCACTGATCTTAACGACGAAATCAATGAAGTGGACAGTGCACCGAACTCCGAGTCGACAATTGTTCCGAGTCACATATCTCCATTGTTAGGACACACCTCGGAAACCAGTATCACTACAATTCGCAGTGACACGATGACTGAAGGTCGTTCTGACGAGAATCACGGACTACCTGAGACTAGTCATCAGGACCTCCAAAATCAAAACAAAACTCCCACTGAACTCAGAGAAAAAATTGGTGAAGTGGATAGGGCACAAAAATTCAACGCTCCTTTGGTCGCTTGTATGAATGCGTCGAAGACACACTTAGATCCAATGACTGATCAACCACCTGTTGTCGAGTTGTCACAAACATCAGATAACCTGACTGACCACATTGACACAGAGCATCTAAACAACCAACTCCACACCTCTTCTGACAGCACAAATCCCACTGATCTTAACGACGAAATCAATGAAGTGGACAGTGCACCGAACTCCGAGTCGACAATTGTTCCGAGTCACATATCTCCATTGTTAGGACACACCTCGGAAACCAGTATCACTACAATTCGCAGTGACACGATGACTGAAGGTCGTTCTGACGAGAATCACGGACTACCTGAGACTAGTCATCAGGACCTCCAAAATCAAAACAAAACTCCCACTGAACTCAGAGAAAAAATTGGTGAAGTGGATAGGGCACAAAAATTCAACGCTCCTTTGGTCGCTTGTATGAATGCGTCGAAGACACACTTAGATCCAATGACTGATCAACCACCTGTTGTCGAGTTGTCACAAACATCAGATAACCTGACTGACCACATTGACACAGAGCATCTAAACAACCAACTCCACACCTCTTCTGACAGCACAAATCCCACTGATCTCAACGACGAAATCAATGAAGTGGACAGTGCACCGAACTCCGAGTCGACAATTGTTCCGAGTCACATATCTCCATTGTTAGGACACACCTCGGAAACCAGTATCACTACAATTCGCAGTGACACGATGACTGAAGGTCGTTCTGACGAGAATCACGGACTACCTGAGACTAGTCATCAGGACCTCCAAAATCAAAACAAAACTCCCACTGAACTCAGAGAAAAAATTGGTGAAGTGGATAGGGCACAAAAATTCAACGCTCCTTTGGTCGCTTGTATGAATGCGTCGAAGACACACTTAGATCCAATGACTGATCAACCACCTGTTGTCGAGTTGTCACAAACATCAGATAACCTGACTGACCACATTGACACAGAGCATCTAAACAACCAACTCCACATCTCTTCTAACAACACAAATCCCACTGATCTCAACGACGAAATCAATGAAGTGGACAGTGCACCGAACTCCGAGTCGACAATTGTTCCGAGTCACATATCTCCATTGTTAGGACACACCTCGGAAACCAGTATCACTACAATTCGCAGTGACACGATGACTGAAGGTCGTTCTGACGAGAATCACGGACTACCTGAGACTAGTCATCAGGACCTCCAAAATCAAAACAAAACTCCCACTGAACTCAGAGAAAAAATTGGTGAAGTGGATAGGGCACAAAAATTCAACGCTCCTTTGGTCGCTTGTATGAATGCGTCGAAGACACACTTAGATCCAATGACTGATCAACCACCTGTTGTCGAGTTGTCACAAACATCAGATAACCTGACTGACCACATTGACACAGAGCATCTAAACAACCAACTCCACATCTCTTCTAACAACACAAATCCCACTGATCTCAACGACGAAATCAATGAAGTGGACAGTGCACCGAACTCCGAGTCGACAATTGTTCCGAGTCACATATCTCCATTGTTAGGACACACCTCGGAAACCAGTATCACTACAATTCGCAGTGACACGATGACTGAAGGTCGTTCTGACGAGAATCACGGACTACCTGAGACTAGTCATCAGGACCTCCAAAATCAAAACAAAACTCCCACTGAACTCAGAGAAAAAATTGGTGAAGTGGATAGGGCACAAAAATTCAACGCTCCTTTGGTCGCTTGTATGAATGCGTCGAAGACACACTTAGATCCAATGACTGATCAACCACCTGTTGTCGAGTTGTCACAAACATCAGATAACCTGACTGACCACATTGACACAGAGCATCTAAACAACCAACTCCACATCTCTTCTAACAACACAAATCCCACTGATCTAACGACGAAATCAATGAAGTGGACAGTGCACCGAACTCCGAGTCGACAATTGTTCCGAGTCACATATCTCCATTGTTAGGACACACCTCGGAAACCAGTATCACTACAATTCGCAGTGACACGATGACTGAAGGTCGTTCTGACGAGAATCACGGACTACCTGAGACTAGTCATCAGGACCTCCAAAATCAAAACAAAACTCCCACTGAACTCAGAGAAAAAATTGGTGAAGTGGATAGGGCACAAAAATTCAACGCTCCTTTGGTCGCTTGTATGAATGCGTCGAAGACACACTTAGATCCAATGACTGATCAACCACCTGTTGTCGAGTTGTCACAAACATCAGATAACCTGACTGACCACATTGACACAGAGCATCTAAACAACCAACTCCACACCTCTTCTAACAACACAAATCCCACTGATCTCAACGACGAAATCAATGAAGTGGACAGTGCACCGAACTCCGAGTCGACAATTGTTCCGAGTCACATATCTCCATTGTTAGGACACACCTCGGAAACCAGTATCACTACAATTCGCAGTGACACGATGACTGAAGGTCGTTCTGACGAGAATCACGGACTACCTGAGACTAGTCATCAGGACCTCCAAAATCAAAACAAAACTCCCACTGAACTCAGAGAAAAAATTGGTGAAGTGGATAGGGCACAAAAATTCAACGCTCCTTTGGTCGCTTGTATGAATGCGTCGAAGACACACTTAGATCCAATGACTGATCAACCACCTGTTGTCGAGTTGTCACAAACATCAGATAACCTGACTGACCACATTGACACAGAGCATCTAAACAACCAACTCCACACCTCTTCTGACAGCACAAATCCCACTGATCTCAACGACGAAATCAATGAAGTGGACAGTGCACCGAACTCCGAGTCGACAACTGTTCCGAGTCACATATCTCCATTGTTAGGAACAACTTCAGACATGTTAAACTGTTTATTACCTGATACTAATGACCCGTACGTTGGTCTTTCCGCCATTCTAGTTAACGAAAATAATGTGGCTGTTTTACCTGATGTGGCTATATCGGGATCTGATTCTACATCCATTGTTCTTGCTGGTGCAGGATATTCCGAAAATATATCGTCAAATGGTAGTTCGATTTTGTCTGAGGATTGTTCGAAAACTGTTACTTCACCGACAAATGAAGGAACTACATCTCGTGCTCCTTCAGTGATCAATTCACCACTCTCCATTCAAAAGTCCCTAGAAAGTATTAAAGTTCATTCGCGTTTGAAACCGTCGTCTTATACGAACAACACAATCCAGAAGAACAAATCTTTACCGCCAAGCCCTAAACTATTACAAAAACCAACAGTTAAACAATACATAAGTGGTTCACAAAGGTCACCTACAATGACTGGACCGAATTTTGGACAGACAAATATTTTAACGAATACTAAAACAAAGTATGCAAGTTCAACAAGTGCGAATGCATCACCTAATCTTATCAGACAACCATTATCTTCCTTGTCAAAGAACACTGATAGTAAAAAGTAGAACAATTTTATTTTTAGTATGTCACAAAAAGAAACAATGAGAAGAAAAAGTAATTTTTCCACATTATTTTCATTACGATCATTATTTTACTTAAAGTTTTTACTTTTAATTATAATACATAACGTAGAATGATTGTTCTTAACCGCTTTATTATAAGATATTATGAGGTTTTATTCAGGATATATATAATGAGCCTTCTCTTATAACAAAATTGATATTCATATTTTAATGTATGTTTTTGGTGTTTCCTTCATTTACTAATGACAACAATAATAATCATAAAAAGAAAGTTAAGACGTTGAAACGAAATTAATTCATGGTGTTAAAACAACCATATTACTATCACTTGAGCATAAATAACTAAATTCACCCATTTACTAGCTATTTGCGTATAAGCCACACTATATGTGTGGGGGCTAATGATATTGCTCGGTTGCCGAATCTGAAGTAGGTGTAGCGGGATTTCAACCTAGAAATCGGTGCCTGAAAGTCGAACAGCTTAACTTTATTTGACGGGGCGAGATACACACAAATAGCATACAACTCTATTTGAAAATAGCACGCAAAAACAGTGTGATGCAATGTCGCATTGCCCTTACCAGAACATACAACAGGTTAGGTCACCATCACTTAAAAATACATAAACCATCAGTTAGACAGAGTGAATGGAAGTGATAACTTAGTCGCCTGTTTTGACGAATTCGATTATTTAACCACATAAGTTTTTGGACACGAGAAATTTGTGTCATACACTGAGTAGTTCTAAATGAAAGATTAAACTGACCGATAAAGATAAACGAGCAAATAGTAGTTTAAATGAAAAACGACTTCCAATTAAATCATATAAATTAAGATATAGATCAAAATGTTAAGCAACTGGACACTAAAAACTAAGATCACTAGGTTAATACAAGACTCACAGTATTCCTTTTAATGCATAAATCAGGTTTATATCTTGTGATAGAGATACCTTTGACAAAGCTGAGTTTGGACGTACTTGCTTACTGATTAATTTGAATGATTTCTGAACGTCAGGTAAGTGACCACTGAATACACAAGAAACATTTAGTTTGAAATTGTAAAGAATAGGTTTAAAAATGAAGATAATAGGCCTTGCACTTGTTTTTTCATGTACATGCTTTGAGACCTTTATATTAACGGGTATACGACAAGTTGTTGTCATATGATGTTACTTATGGTTGTGATAGTAAAGAGTAAATATGCACTTGGGCTTAAATCCCGAATATTTTATTACATTCCTGTGTTTACTCATTTATAGCCTAAACAAACAATTTATTTTCCAGTTCATTTGTTACTCAATTTCATATTGCAATAATATTGATTAATGTCACTACACATTTGCTTTTAAATTACTTTGACTAAGTTAGTTAGTTAGTTCTCAAAACTCTTGTATATAAATTCCTTTTAAAAACATTTGACCATTAGAAACTAGAATTTTCTGAAAAACAATATCCAAATGAATAAAGTTAAAATTAAAAAAGGTGAAATGATCAAATTTTTTATTAGGATAATTTATGAAATGTAGATAAGTTTTCCAGGGAGAAACAACGCCATGATCAAGTGAAAAGTGGATTTTTTGACAAACCATCATTAACATTAAAAAATACGCGCGAAAACACACTTGAGCTCCTAAAAATCACAATCTTAGTGGCTAATTTTCGAAAAATTTATTTTTCAGTGTTTCTCTTGTTAACTGTAGGAGAATTGAAGCCAGAAAATAGTACAGAATTGTACAATTATCGCAGTTATTGAATCATTCATTTGGATAGCGCAGTGTAGCCGCCTACTACTCAACACATTTGTTTCATGTGTTACTTACGTCATAATTCTCCCAAAATCCAATCCATTCCACCTCATTTTTAAATATGAATAGTCTTACTGGTGGAACCTCAGTTGATTTTAACGGTACAAATTATACAGGATTAAGATAAGGATGTACCCTAAGTGCATACAATCATCTGATGACAAAACTCTAGAGAATATAGTTACACAATTACCATGATGTACGGTGTAACTCAATGTAGTTTATCTAAGAAGACATTAAGCAGACAGACAGTTCTACTACTGTATAAAAATGTATCATATTTGTAACAGATTCTTATCTGTAACTGTACTCTAGTACAATGACTAAGTTCAAAGGTAAACAGAATGTGACAATGCCATAAAGCTATATATATCCTCACTGAGAATTAGAGTCTGTGGTAAAACCGTTGGATCAAATCATAAGAATTAAGAAGTACCGAGGCAACTTAATACATACTCACACTGTATAACTAGACACCTAATAACTGCAGTTTAGATTGCATAGATGAGTCTCACAGAGAACCATCGATAGTGATTCGCAAAGCTTCTATTTAGAATATACGACTTCAATCTTGGGCATGCTAAACTAAATTATTCTACATTCACAAAAAAGCTTTTTGCACACTTCCTATGCTGCTTGCAATTATGGAAATCTGAGTCTGTGAACTAATATCACAAGTATTACCCCTCTTTAAACGTTGATTGTCTTTAAATAAAAACGATAGTACAACTAACTGTTCGGTCAAACGTTGGAGAGTTTCGGAAATAAGCCTTCCTGTTTTAGATTCACCGTGACTGAGTAACCATGAATTTAGACCGTATCCATGCACACGCTTTGTGAACAGATTACAACTTATCGTGATGGTAAACATTAAAAAATTCAAACGTAAACACTACAGTTCACGATATGTTTTCCTCCTAGTCTATCTTTTGAAGAAACAATAGGGGGTTAGACTAGGATTTATGCATCCAATATATAGTGAATGAGAAAAATAGATGTAGTTAAAACTGGGCTTGTATTAAATCTCTTTATTCTATTTAGGAAAAGTGTAAGTCAGTCAGCTACAACGTAGGACCAGGCACATATATGCACTGGTCCAGGTTGCCATATCGCATTAGCACAGCAAGATGAACACCGGATTCCTAGGAGTGGTTAGGTCAAAGGTGGTAATATATAAGAGAAAGATTGCAATAAGGATATAGTACAGGAAGAAATAATTAGTTCGTAGAAAGAAAGATATGAAGCGATTTTAATCTCCTAGTTTAAGGGAAGACAGAGAGTGTATACACCACACCCACGCCATTGTGATCGATTCTGAGCCATGTCACCAGGAGTCTCCAAGCATTGGTCACTATAGTCACGCGGTCCCCAACCAAGTAGTCTGCATCCACCAACTCAGACTAGGGGTTAGTGATTTCAAGCATTGATGCCACGTTTTGGTTTGGCCGCCCCTAACTTTCCCCCAGCCATCCCGAACACCGGTTAGCATTGCACGTCGTGGTAATCGGTGTTCAGGCATATGAAACACGTGGCCCAATCATCTCAGTCGATGAAGGTTCACAACCTCATCAACTGATTTACCATCATTCCCTAATACCCTGCGTCTAACCTCACTATTACTTACCCGGTGATCCCAGCAGACGCCAGCAATATTTATAAGGCATCTGTGGTCAAATACTAGTAGCTTACGAGTGTCTTCTACTCTTAAAGGCCATCTTTCGCTGCCGTAAAGTAAAACAGAACAGACTGCTGAGCAGTATACTCGTCCTTTTATTGATAGACGGATATCTCGCCTTTGCCATAGGTGACGCGAGTTGGCAAAAGCCAAACGAGCTTTTCGAATCCGTGCTGAGATTTCGTCCGATACCAGCCCATTAGGGCTGATCAGACTTCCAAGATAATTGAAGTTTTCGACGCGTTCGACCACTTCACTCCCTATCCTTAGTTCAGGTGTTGACGCAGGCCAGTCCTGAAGCAACAACTTGCATTTAGAGGGAGAGAAGCGCATTCCAAACATTCTTGCATTGTTGCTTAGTGCTGTGGTCTAGTGGTTAGGACATTGCGTTGTGGAAAAGTGTAAACAACTATATGGCTCTAATACATATGTCGTTAACTGACTTACAGTAAGCATCTATGATAACCACTAGCAACTTACAATTTCAGTATTAATTAATTTATTAATCATAAGAAATATAGTACTTTCGAGTAGAAATCACTGAAAGATAACAGCGTATTATTTGATATTTTTGTATAGTGGACACCAGTGGGATCCAAGATGCATTATTAAGTCTATTCGGAACTCAAACCCAGAACAAATGAAAGAAATATATATAATAAACTTGTAGCTACAGGCATTCGCTCAAAGAATTCACCATCTAATAGACTGAATAAGCTAAGTCTTGAATATCAAACAACGGAAAAACACAAATTCTCACTAATTGCAATAAATGTATGTTTTTATTCAATCGTTTCAAGGTAACATTAAAGTGAACTAAAATGTTTATGTTAAAATTGATTCTTGGTGGACAAAAGGAATAGGTAGATTTGGCTTTGTATCAAAGAACATTAAAATGTTTGTTAAACATTTTAGTAAAATTGAATCAAACAGGAAAGTAAAAGAAAGAACGAAAGTGAAAGAAAATTTACAATACTTATTGAGTATACAATCTACCGATAATAAGGCGGTTTGGCAACATGAATACCCCTATCATTCAATGAAGCAATTAAATCTTCCAGTGTAAGAGTGGCGCGACGATCTGTGGGAAATTTATTGGTCCCAGGTTTTCCACCTAGAAAACAACATATTATAGAGATCATAGGAATTGACACAGTGTAATACGATGATTTTAACACTAAGAACGAAATTCGATATAGTTAATTTAAATAACTGGTCGAAAATTGTTTTTATTTTTGAAATTAAATCAGTGAAACCAAAGGTACGATTAGATACATTTATGTGAATTAAAAATTACAAATGAGATAAAGAACTAACATTATTATCGCTTAGCTCGTAGGATTATTATGTTGAGGAGATCTAAGTTAATCGTTTTTTTCTAATTATTATTATTATTTGAACACATAGACATTGGTACAAAGAGGCACCAAATAAATATGCGCCACATAAATCTCATTTGAATTGTGTGAGGGTTGTGATACTGCCCGGGTGCCCAAACCGAAGTAGGTGGTTTTCTTAGGGGGCCACACCCGGAGCCTTCGACCCAAAGGTCTGATCCACAAGGCAATGGAGCGTCGTAAGGAGATGCAGTCCCGTGGTAGCCAGTGACCAACGGTTGGTTCATACGCCATTTGTTCGTTCAGAATACTGGAGCCCA